GAAGAGAGGGGGATAGAGAGTTAGAAACATCGATGAGAGAGAGAATCATCGATCAGCTGCCTCTTGTACACCCCCTACTGGGGATGTGTCCACAACCAAGGTACATGCCCTTGACCGGATCCAACCTGGGACCTTTCAGTCTGCAGGCCGATGCTCTGTCCACTGAGCCAAACCGGTTTCGGCTCTTGGTGGACTTTTATGGAATATGTGGAGGGCGGAGTGAATGAATGAGTGAATGAATGAATGAATGGACAGACACAAGCTAGAGTTACTAAAGGGTAACTTACATGCTTACCTTGGAATCTAATTCTCCTATAAGATATAACTATATTTCCTTCCTGTCTTCCTTTCTCTCTCCTTCTCCCTCTCCTTCTCCCTCTCCTTTTCCCTCTCTCTCTCTTTCCCTTTCTCTCCCCCTCTCCTTCTCCCTCTCCCTCTCGGCTATGGACAGACTGTATATATTTTGTATCTAACATTCCTAACCTAAAATTATATACATATAGATAGATACACAGATTGATAAGCACAGGAAATATACTTTCTATTCTAAAACACTACAACCTAATTAAAAGAAAACATGGAAATAATAACTGAAAACTAAAAAGAAAAAATTCATAGACCCACTCAGATAGAACTGTCACTAACATCTGGTAGCATACCTTTCAACTCATCATGTTCAGAGTATACATTCTAAATGGCATTATGATCATACCTCAGATAGAATTTTTTATACTATGTTTTTAACTGACCTGGAAGTAAATGATTTAGTGAGATAAATCAAAATTTACTTATTTCCCTGGTGTGTGTGTGTGTGTGTGTGTGTGTGTGTGTGTGTGTGTATGTGTGTATGTTGCTGTCAATCTTTTTTAATGTTGCATTGCAAATATAGGCTTTTGTACAGAAAGCTTTCTCCAGATTCGGGATTAAGAAAATGACTTTTGCATAGCCCCATGCTACCCCTTAGCATCTTGCCATAACCCTATCCATTCCCTCACTCCAACGCTGAAGTAATTTATGGCTCTGGCTTCTTACTTGTTTTAAGCCCATCTCTTAAGGGGTGACCTCCCGGTGTCTTCAATTATTATTTTAAATGACGCTTTAGGCTACTGCCTGGCATAGCGGTGCCCTCACCTTCCCGCCTTCTGCCTTTCAAGCACGGAGCTCAGCTGCCAAACTGCCTGTGCCCCCTCCTGTCCTCGGAGCTGCCTCCAGAGTCCTAGCAGAGCGGCAGATTAACCCCTTTTGTTAGCAGAGGCAATTGCCCCGGCTCAGCATTAATAAGGGGTGCCATAAGCAGTTGGGGTCAAGGAGAACAGATCTGTCAAGCCCCGGGGTTAATTTAATAGCAATCTGTTGGCTGTCTGCCCTGTGTATCATCTGTGAAGCCAATGCTCTGTTTTGCTTTTTCCATTTAGTTCTTTGGGTCAACAGGGAAATAATTTGGATAGAGAGCTCTAGACGATGGGGAGGAGAAAATTGACTGTCAAAATGCATCATCCCACGTTCAAGATAATGCAGGGAGCTGTGCGTTGCTTGTGTCCTTTCTTCTTCCTCCCCAACTCAAAGGGCAAAGCCACACAGACCGAAGGTGTGTGTCCCCCTTTACCATCGGGTAAGGTTTCTAGGAGGACACATATGAAAGATGCCCTACCGTTGAATTTTTGGTGACTGGGCTCCTTCTCCCAAATGTCTCTGGAACTGAGCAAATTCTCCCTCATAAACAATTCAGGAAATCCCTTACCATGTTTCTGACCCAACTTCTGGCAAAAAATAAAAATAAAAAATTATTACATCTTAGGACACAAAAATCCTAGGTCAGATGCTGTATCCCAATTGTGGTTCTGAAAACTGTGGCCCCCAAAGTGGACAGTGAATGAAGAGAGCACAGGCCCTAAGCAGAAGTCAGCTCCCTCCCAGATTAGCCAGGGGGCAGTCCAACAGAGCCAGACTCACCACACTCAGAAAGGCTGGCTCTGAGAGGGCCACTCCTCAACGATGAGGGAGCATGTGGTCCAGAACCAGGTTCTGGAATTGGACAAACCTGGGTTCAAATGCAGCTCTGGCCCCTGTTGGTCACATGGCCCGGAGTAATTTACCTCCAGCACTATTTCCTGAGCTGGAAATGGGCCTGTTCATAGTACTGACCTCCTAAGGCTGAGATGAAGGCTAAATGAAACAGTCCATAGCACTTGATAATTTAACTGCAGGCTGGTATTCTCTTCCTCCTCGTCCTTACCTTCATGGTTGTTAAAAAGAGGAGTAGAGTCATAGTTCACCCCCTGAACCCCACAGAATCAGACCCTAACAAGCTCTCTAGTCTCAAAGGAGATGCTTGAGGATGAGGGATGATGGGCAGATGTCATGGCCCAGGATGGGACTGGGAGCTGGAATCAGGGGCAGCTGACTCAGTGGTCACCTCCCAGGAGGGTGCTCTTGGTGGTGGTGGGTGTTGTTGGCTTCCCAGATATGTCTAAGCACTTCATTTTCACACATCCCGACTCTGGGGCTTTATTTTAGGTGAGAAAAAATAACCATGGATGTGGCACCTCCCCTCCCACGCAGCAAAGCAAAGATCCCTTGCAGAGCATCTTGTGTTCAGAGCTACCCCAGTAGAGGTCGAGAAAGCTGATGGCAGGATTTCTTGTCCTATTCTGGGAAAGGCGAAACCTGCTCGCTGGCACAGCGGGGTCTGGAGGCTCTGGAGGGAGATGAACTCTGACAACAGCTGAACACTGACCTCAGCTCACGTCACCCCCTGCCGTGGCCACAAGCCCCGGGCATGGGTCAGGCTGGGGAGAACATCAGAGCTACAGCTCGGGGCCTCGTTCTGGGGGGCACAGGCTCTCCCTCCCCAGGGTGTGGGGCTGACGGAAATAACAGCTATAACTCTGGCAGCAGTTGAGTTGAAAGGTAGTACTTTATGAATCCAGGGGACCCACATGCTTTGGAGACAAAAGTAATACTTGCACCTGGGTTTGGTGGGGGCAAGTGTAGTAAAATATAACATTAGTTCAGTCTCAAGTTAATTTTAGAAAGAACCCAACAGGATTTCTAAGAGGTAATTGAAGGGGAAGAAACACAGCCAACCACAAAGCCCTCATTACCACAAATTGGCATGTGGAACTGTTGTAGCAGGAGCAGAGGTGATGTTTGATAATAGAGGAGCCCTTTGTTGGTGTTGGGATAACAATACCAGCGCATTGACCTGCACCTCATCTACACTCTAAGGAGGGGGCTATGCTACTAACCAGGAAAATCATAGAGGGCTTTCATCCCTGCCAGCCCAATAGAATAGTCTGTATCAAGCTATTGCTTGTGAATTTCATAGTGTTTACCAAAACCAGATACGTAAACTCGCACACATCAACGGTTTGAGTTTAATTGTTAGGCATTTATTTTCATGTAGCTAGCCTGCCTGGGTGGGTTGCTCAGTTGGTTGGAGCATTGTCCTGTTCACCAAAAAGTTGCAGGTTTGGTCCTGGTTGGGGCACGTACAGGAGACAACTGATCAATGTTTGTTTCTCTCTCACATACATGTTTCTCTCTCTCTCTCTCTCTCTCTCTCTCTCTCTCTCTCTCTCTCTCTCTCTCTCTCTTTTTACTTGCATCTCATTGGGTGGAGATGGAAAAGAAGAAGTAACTAGCTTGTTATGCCCATTTTTTGAATATTGGATTATTGCTTAGATAAGACTTAAGTAAAGAAAAGTGAGTAGGTATAAGTTGATCCTGAAGAAAAAAATGTGATGTAAAAATACAACCTACGGATAGAGAGGTGGGCCAGAGGTCACAAAGGTGGCTCAAAGGTTGTCCGGTCTAGGAAAAGTAGGAATCGCTTTTGCTCCGCTTTCCCGTACAACAGCACCCACATCACAAGGCTGGCTCCTTCGCAGGAAGTTGCTGGGTCCCCAGCCAGGTGCCTCCCAGCCTGCACCCTGTCCCCTCTTGAGCTCTCAGTCAGAATATGAAGGGATCAACCTAAACCCACACCTCATGCGTGCCAGACACTCCACTGAAGGTGTTTCTCTAAGTCACCTTCATCAGTGAAAGCCAAGTGTTTCATTGAAATATACAAGGATGTGGTCGTGAATAGATGTATACTAATTCTTGATTAGAAAGTAAAAACCTGAGAAAGATTTTTTTTTTAAATGATAAACTGAGGGTGTATATTCCATAGGAGGCTAAAATTATCTCGCCATACCACTGGATGGCTTCTTTCTGGTGCTGAGAAAGCTCTAAAGCACACCACAGCTTATGGAGACTTGAGCCCCCCTGCGTATCTACAATAAGAGAAATTTTTGCATAATTATTAAAGAACACAAAAGTGTGCGCCTGGGGTAAAATCCTAGAACTGTCACTCTTTAGCAAGTTGCTTTACATGCTCTGAGCCTCCGTTTCTGCCCCCTGGGAAATAAGGATAAGAAAAGTGAGGAGAGCCAAAACCGGTTTGGCTCAGTGGATAGAGTGTTCGCCTGCGGATTGAAAGGTCCCAGGTTCGATTCTGGTCAAGGGCCTGTACCTTGGTTGCGGACACATTCCCAGTAGGGGTTGTGCAAGAGGTAGCTGATAGATGATTCTCTCTCATCTATGTTTTCTAACTCTCTATCCCTCTTTCTTCCTCTCTGTAAAAAGTCAATAAAATATATTTTTTGAAAAAGAAAAGAAAAAGAAACGGAGATAAAGTACCTGCTGTGCTTTGCACAGTGATTGACGTGTAGTCAGTGCTCAATAAATGGTATCAGCTATCAGCAGCATCATCATCATTATATTAAAGATCTCAGAGATTCCATAGAAGAGGATTTAGAATCTATCGTAGATTTTATTTACAGCGCAGGAGTCTGGGTAAAGATTCCAATAAACTGGGTTATTTAGTTAGAAGGGGACGAGTTTTGTGAAGACCGTTGTAAAAGGAGAAATGGAAGTCTGTGCAGTGTGGTACGTGTTCGCACAGTTGCATGAGGTGCTGCCTCCTCTCCCGTCTGCTCCTTGACTCTCGGTTCCAGACATCGTGGACATTAAGCCGGCCAACATGGAGGAGCTCACGGAGGTGATTACGGCGGCCGAGTTCCACCCCCATCACTGCAACACCTTCGTGTACAGCAGCAGCAAAGGGACAATCCGGCTGTGCGACATGCGGGCGTCGGCCCTGTGTGACAGGCACACCAAATGTGAGTAGCCACCGGCCGGCTCAGAGCTGGGGGGGGGGGGGGAGCCCACTGGCCCTGACACATGGGAGGGGAGGGCCGATCTCCTTCCCTACGGGAGACACGCTGGGAGCAAAGAAAATACCAGGGTCCGCCTGACTCGGTGTCAGCTCCACGGTGGGTATTCCAATAAAGGTGAACCCTCACATTCAATCCCACAAACACCCGCTGCAGGCTGTGGACTGCGGAGATGAATAAGACATGAGCCCTTGTCACGTAGCGTTATGACATGACCTGAATTACGTTTTAAGATCAGTCTTGCTGTGGGCAGGGGAACCTGAGGGGTGGAAAGAGGAGAGCGCTGGGGGTTGTTGCCATGTCCAGGCAGGAGGTGAGCATGGGTGGGGCAGGGAAGCAGAGAGGGGCAGGCGGGTTCTGGGTAGACCTTGGCAGGAGCTACGGGGACCTGCTGGCCTGTGCAGGAGGCGGAGACTACACAAAGAATTGAGAATGGCCTCTGGGAATGGTGCCTAAGTGGTCACACCTTATAGTATATTTGGAAGTTGCTAAGAGAGTAGATCTTAAACAATGGGTAACTGTGTGGTGATGGATGTTAGACTTATGGTGTTTATTTTGCATTATAGACATATAACAAATCATGAAATTAGTATAATGTTATATGTCAAATATATGTCAATTTTTTTTTTTTTATAGAATAGTGGCTGGAGGGAGGGGTTCATGGTTTCTTAGAGAGCAGCTTTGGAATCAGAACTCAGCTGTGACACTCAGTGGCTGTGTGACTTCAGGCAAGTTATTTAATCCTATTGAGCCCCAAGTTCCTCATTGGAAAGTAGAAATAAAAAGCGTAGCCTCATAGGACCGGCTGTCCATGAAAAGGAAATGCCATCATAGGGCCAGCTGTCCACGAAAGGGAAATGTCATCATAGGGTGAGCGTCTAGCACTGTGGTTGCAAAGTGCAGCTCGAGAGCCACATGTGGCTCTTTGGCCCCTTGAGTGTGGCTCTTCCACAAAATACCATGGCCTGGGTGAGTCTATTTTGAAGAAGTGGCGTTAGAAAAAGTTTAAGTTTAAAATTTTGGCTCTCAAAAGAAATTTCAGTTGTTGTACTATTGATATTTGGCTCTGTTGACTAATGAGTTTGCCGACCACTGGGACCACTGGCCCTAGCACTTGCTGGGACACAGGAGTCAGTGAATGACAGCTGCATTTATCACAGTTATTCCTCCCCAATGCCCTCTGTGCAGGGCCTGCAGCTACATGGTGCTGGAAATACCAGCCTTTTTTACCAGATATTCAGAGTTCAGTTGTTCATCTACTTAATTAGTATTTGTTGAGCTCACACTACATGTCAGGTGTTATACCAGGCTCTGGGATGCAATGTGAGCAAAACCAGGCCTGGTTTTCTCCCTCCTAGAGCTCAGTCTGTGTTAGTGAGGGTTCTCCAGAGAAACAGAACTAATAGGAGATGTATATCTTATATACATATACATAAATGTGTGTGCGAGTATGAGAGAAATGTATTATCAGTATCTGGTGCATGTGATCATGGAGGCTAAGTCCCAGCATTTGCGGTGGGCCTGCAGGAGATGCAGGAAAGCCAGGGACTCAGGAAAGCTGATGATGTAGTTCTGGTCCATCCGCCAACTGGCTCATTTCCCAGGAAGAGCCAATGTGTTCATTCGAATGGCAGAGGTGAGGGGTGGGAGGGGACATTGATGTCCCAATGGCTCAAAGATATTCCCTCTTATTTGGGGAGGTCCAGCCTTTTTGGACCTTCAACTGATGGGATGAGGCCCACCCACATTAGGGAGGGCAATCTGCTCTACTTAGTCTCTCAATTTAAATGTTAAATTCATCCAAAAATGCCCTCACTGTAGCACCCAGAATAAGGTTTGACCAAATGTCTGGGCATTTCATAATCAGGTTGCTGCATAAAATTAACCATCACAGTGTCTGAAGAAAGACTCATGAATTGCAAGCGCAATCATTGGTATGAAAGAGAGGCTTCAGGTGCTGTGAGGAGATATGGCAAGGACATTATAACCCAAGGCGGTGGCCACTGACTGTGACCTAAAGGCTGAAAACAGGAAAGGGTGATGGTGCCCACAGAAGCAGATCTGCCAAGCTGCACACCCAGGGACCCCCAGAGGCTGCTCCTGCTTCCAGCCTGAACCCCACATAACCCTAAACCCTGAGGACAGTCCCTAGTGAGATCCCAGAGCTTAGAGGCAGCCTGCAGCCCTGCCTCCCCACGCCCCACCCCTACATGGTCAGTGCTCCGAATTGCCAGCCGCCAGCCTCCTCATCTAATTAAGAAGTGAATGAAATTCATGTTCCTGACTCGTCTAAAGTGGCGACCTTCTTCGGTGCACAACACCCTTTGTTCGGCCACCTCGGCGGTGGCCCCAGGCTCCTGCCAGCCGGGAAAAACAAGTTCAGCCTGACCCCTCGCCTGACATTTCATATTGATTTTCTCCATCCTCCTCAAACGCCAGCCTCCCGCCGACCATGGTGCTGCCGAGGTGTGCGATTGGAATTGAGACAGTTCATCAGAGTTCAAAATGAAAAGCAGCATTGGCTCTTGGAGATGAGCTCAGAGAAGGGGAGGGTGTTTAATAACCGCCGGCGTTTAATCAAAATGCCAAGGAGATCTGTGTTATCGGCGCTGCATATATTAATTCCCATATGTCCTCACGCTGTGTGCTCGGCAGGGGCTAGAAGGGATGCCTCGCTCCCTCATGTCTCCATTTCCCCCTCCCTCTGGCTTCTGGCAGCAGTGACAGGTGGGTTTGAGGTTTGAGATTCTTATGCCTACAACAATAGGGTGCTGATGGCGGCGGCAGCAGGCTGGTCTGAATCGTGCTTTTCCCTTTCGATGTGTGAGTATTGGGAATTGAGTGAAGACACGGGCCAGGTGTGATGAATGGCAACCGAGGAAATGAACGAGAAATTTCCATCTGAAAGCCTTCCCAAGGCCCTGTTAGAATCTGATCCCTACCCCTCTCAAACCTCAGCTCCACCTAGTCTGGCCACACAAGGCTGCTTCCTGCACCACCCCTGCCCTTTCCCGCCGCAGGGCATTTGCACGGGCTTTTGCTCTGCCTGGGATGCTCTCCCACTGTGCCCCCTCTTGTCTGGACTGTTCTCACTTTTTGAGTCTCTGGGAAAATGTCACCTCCTCAGAGATGACTTGTCTGTTCACCTCATCTCCACCCTATTTCTATTTATCACTATTTTTTTTTTGCAGCATTTACCTATAGATACTTGCTTTTCTTCCTCTGTCTTCCCTATTGGAATGTCCTCTCCACCAGAGCGGGGGACCTTACTTATCTTACCAACCTCTGACTTACCAATGCTTAGCACAGTGCACAGCATGGAGTGGTGTTTCACTGAACAGCAGTGGTAGGGAGACAGGCAGATGGGGAAAGACAGATAGAAGACAGGGTATTCATTTATTGGAGTGGCTGTAACAAAGGGCCACAAGCTGGGTGGCTTAAACAAGACTTGATGTCCTGGAGGCTGAGATGAGGCTGTCAGCAGGGCTGGTTCCTTCCGAGGGCCAGGAGGACAGGATCCACTCCAGGCCTCTCTCCTAGGCTTGCTGACGCCCGTCCTCTTGCTCCACATCCTCTTCCCTCTGTACATGTCATGTCTACAACTCCCCTTCTGTGGCGCCAGTCAAATTGCTTTAGGGCCCATTTTCTTGTGACTACCCCTTTAAAGGCCCTATCTCCAAATATGGTGACATTCTGAGGTCTTGGGGATTGGGGCTTCAACATATGAATTTGGGGAACACCGGTTAGCCCCTCATAGTAGACATGAAAATAATCCGGAGCACAGGCCCTGGAGTGATAGTTCCTCCAGTTGGATCCCCTGTCCCAGCAGTTTTCAGTTGCAGAGCTAGCTCTGTCCTTGGACAGACATGAGATCCACCGTCTCATTCTTCACCCTCATCTACAAACTTAACTGCCGTGTCCAGGTTCCACGGGCCACTGGGTCCCTTAATAAACCTATGGCTCATTCGCTCAGGTCTCTGATGGAATGTGTCCAAAGACATCAGCTGAGGCGGCAGCTGCAGTGAATCTTAAAACCTCCAAGGTTTGGCACAGCTTCCAAACGGGGTGCAGTCTTGATTGGGGGCATAATTAACAGTGTTTATTGCAGGGGAGTTTGGTTAGGTGAAAAAGACAAGGCCCTTTATGAAAAGCCCTTGGCTGATGACAGGCTTATAAACACACCCAGACACCCACCCACCCCTCCTGGAGGAAAGCCAGAACAGAGACTTGTTGCAAGGAATGGAATTCACTGATCCCCTCCCCCACCCCACCGCAGTGTCTACCCCATTCAAGCTCAGCTGCAATTAACAGCAGAGCAGGCAAGGCCCAAGCCGCAGAGTGAAAACAGAATTCCCCCATCCTCATTTCCATTTTTGATTGATTTAACCAGTTTGGTCCATTAGTCATCCTGTTGACTCCAGTTGAGTGGATTTTTCTAAGAACTGGAAGCATATTCATTTTGGAGACAAGTGTCATTCATTAGCAGTTGACAACTCCCCAGGCCCTGCCCTCTCCCCACGAGAGGCCTTGGATGAGAAGGCCATGGAGGCTGAAGCAGACTCAGGCACATGGCTGCAGCCCCAGACCCACGTGGTGTGGGAAAGGTTGGCCATGAGGTTATAGGTGGTTCTGGCTACTCTGGGCGTGAGACCCATCAAGGCTGACTTGCCTGTCATTATCGACCATGACAAGCCATCATGGGCAAAGCAGACATGGGCACAGGGTGAGCGTCCTGAGTTTGAGGTACGGGAGAACCCCAATCAAGGGAATACTGGGAGCAATTTTCCCCAGGGAGGGACAGGGTCTGTCAGTGAGGGCTAGTGAGGGCTCTGTCCAGGGCAGAATGGGTCTTATGATAGCCTCTCCCTTCCCACCAGAGCGGACATAGGAAGTTCACCTCATCCTCTTTGGGTTAGTTTCCTATGCCTACTGTAACAAAGTACTGC